GTGAAACAGAAGATGAAGACTTCATCCTCTGAGATATTTCTAATCTGGGATTTTTCCATTTCCAGACATACTAGCATTTTTCCCCTGGACTTTTCTGTATACAGTAATTTAAAATCAACTCATTATAACTGGTTTTAAGTGTTTGTAAACAACATATAAAAATTTCAGCAGGAAATTCTTTCCAAGATAGATATGCTAAAATATTCTTTCCAGTATGTAAATTTTGTATTACAGACCATTGTGGCACAATTTCTCTAGAACATACCCCTGCTGATGCTGAAGTGCAGATGAAAAGCCCTAGAGCATTCTATGCAGAATATCACTTACTATACACTTGTGTAATAATTCAGTAATTTTAATTAATACTAATATGTCTTGGAACAGATTAGGATGGTAGCCTTGGTTTCCTTCTCAGCAAATGGAAAAAGAAAACAACCAACAAATAAAAATAAAGAAATAAAACATACTCAGATCCCTAGGTCTCTCTTCATATTTCATCTTCATAGAAAGCAAGAAGCTTGGATCCAAAACRCCAAAAAGTAATTATAAATTTGCCTTTAAACAGCCACCCTAAGCATTCTAACTGCACCAGGTAGTTTACCAGGGATGGCTGATCACATTCTCAACATCACTATCAATAACTGATGTCTATTTTTGCATGCCTTGAGGCCTGAACCACAACTACCAAATGAAGTGAGGATTTATTTAAAAGCAAACAGCAGTTCCAATTCTCTCTAATGTTTTTTAGCATGTCTCATCATTAAAGTGGATCTACCTAGCTGAGAGCACCCCCCCCAAGAGGTAATACAATTATTCCCTGCTATTTGGTGAACTATGTGATACTAGGCAGGGTGGGATTCTATTCCACATCCCTCAGTGGTGGCAGACAGCTTTAATTCCCATTTTGGCCAATGGTACTAATTAAATACAATGTTTATAAGAAGGTTTCTTAATCTCCAGCTACGAATCATATGACACGTAACAGAGATGAACTACAAAGATGCAGAGCTCAGCTTTGTCCCACTATTTCTGGACTTGCATACTTACAGTTCCCATACAATTTCAAAGTCTCCCAAGTTGCTCGAACTTTTTTTTTTTTTCTGGCAATGACTAGGGAAGCAACAACAATAACTTTTATATTGGTGTTGAGGCTTCTCATGCAAGAGTGTGCATGCCAGTGGCACTCGAATACAGCTTGCTTGCTTTCATCTACAAAAAATTACAGTGTCTTAAGTGCTCTTCCATATAGCACTATTAATTATCTCCCCTTCCTGAAGTGCAATTTTATACTAAGGACTTCTTCTTTTTCTATAATTATATTTACTTTCTGTTACTCTGTCAATAAATCTGAAATTTTAATATTAAGTGAAGAATGTGAAAAAAAGTAAGTTGGAAGGGACACCTAATCCAACCTTATGCATAGAGCAGGACTAACTTAAGATGTTAGAACAGTTTGCTGAAAGCTGTGTGTAGCCAGGTTTTGAAGGCCTGCCTGTTACGATCCTGCTAATGCTGCCTTGTATTAAGTCAGCCTTCACTGCTGCAATGGTGGACTTCCAATTAACATTTAGAAAGCTAACAATCATGGCCTCTAGTTCTTAGTAGATCAGCTGTGAAAGTCAGTTACTTTCCTACACTGCTGTATAGCTATAGAACTTTTCTATCATTTCTGTTCAATTTAGTGAGGCTTCTGTTATCAGTTGCTTGTTTAGGTATGTTGGAATGGCAGCCATGCCTCCAGTGCATCAAGCACAATCCAAATTACTGTAATCCATAATCCTGCAAGGCATGTTCCTGTCCAAGTTGTTGACTAAAATGCTAAGAACATCATCCCACGTATCAAACCAAAGGAACATTATTTAGACTCAGAACTGTTGACTATCATTTCTTTTTTTCCACCCACTGGAAGGTATTTTATCCCTGTATTACCAGATATGGTATAATATGGTATAATATATTGTCATTGAATCATAGAAGGAAAAGATGGGAAGGAAGCTACTGGGTTGAGATAGTGTGAAAAAAATTGAGGAAAAGATGCCTGAAGCATGGTTCAAACTGGGATTTGGCAGCTCTCAGATGGAAAGAACTGAGGTCATAAGGCAAGCTAAAGAGTTCAACAGACATAATCAAGTCATAAATGCATATAGTTGGCACATGTACAAAATGCATTATGTCTTCTTGTATCTTCGAACAGTTCATGTCTACTTCTTAAAAGGAAAAATACTGAAGTTGTTTTTATAGAATGTTAATCCCAGAAGACAAAGAATGTTAATCCAAAAAAAGAAGACATCTGCTATAAGTAATTGAAAATCCTAATTTCATTCTGCCACTGTTGTCTGGTGTCTATTTAACTGCGGTCAAGACATTCTCATGGTAAATTCCAAATCTTAATTTTTTGTCCTCATAGCACTGCTGGCAAGATCCTGAAAGATCCCTACAGAATTGAAATGATGCTCTGCTGAGTGATTTTTGAGCCTGAAGTGTGAATTCCATAGTCTGCATGAAATACCTCCATCTTTCTGTTGCCAGCTCTGTTCTTATGTGCCAGGGCACATCAATCCCAAATTGCAATATCCTGAATATTAGTCCGTGGTCTATTAAGAACTCAGCAAAAACACTGCACAAAAAACACATGGTGATTCCCCAATGTCCACAAAACTTCATATTGGACTGAAAAAACCAAAAATTTAGTTGTCCAATTGTTGTCAAGGAAAAGATGAACAAATTCTACAGAAATACAACATAGGGATAATAAACATTAACTGTTTTAAGATCATTAGGTTCCTGTTCCTCAAAAAACTGATAAACATTTAATCAGAATAAAATTTATATAATTTCAAATAATTTTTGTTGATTACAAAGATTAAAACCCTACCTTTTTTCCTTCCTTATTTATTCTGGAAAACATACTCCATCCTTAAAAYATACTGAAGTGCTTATTTCTGCTTATGAACTTAAGAGCTTAGTACCTGTCCATACATAGCTTGAGGAAGTTCTGAAAACTCATCTAAAGATGATTATAATTTTTGAAAATTAATATTACAAAGATACAAAATCCATATCTTTCATTAATGAAATTTCAAATTTAAATAATTTGTTTATGCACTTATACACTGCTCTATGATGTGTTCTTATTAAAAGGTTTAATAATTATAGTCTTTATATAACTACTTTAGAAAGAAAAATTATTTAAATATTAAAAACATTTACTAAAATGTTTATTCATTCTAATATATTTGATATGTACTGTATCAAAGTCTGCAGAATGGAAATATGCTACCAAAAGTCAAAGATGCTTAGCAAGGCAAAACCCCAGTGTTAAATATTGACACTCAGATGAATTATATTGTTGGTAGTAGTAAGGCAAAATCTGGCAAAGAAAAAGTAAAAATATTGCTGCCATGTATACTACCAATTCCTCATACAGGTGTTTGTGGACTAGAGGCAGAATATAGCCCCAAAGGACAAAGAGGGAGTGATCCTGTAGCAGAGGTACAGCTTTTCATTACTATTACTTTGCTCCTGTGGGAGTTAGCTTTTAAAAGTAAAAACACCTATTTTACACTGTAAGGGAAAATAATTTGCTTAACTAAAATGTTCTCTTTCCGGTAAAAGAAAAAAAAACAAACCAAACCACACCAGTGGAAAATTTTCCTTAATGTTTGCACTGCTGACCAGTGTTACTGGTTACACTGTAGTTGAAAAGATATGTATTCTTCCTTGAGTATGCTGACTGCTCCAAACCACCAGAAGATCTAGCAGTACCTGCTTATTGCCATTTGCAGCATGAGATTTTTCACTGGGTTACTGAAGGAAGCAATTTTCAGTTGACAACCTTTTCTGAATTTAGTTGATGCCAGTTTCAGGTTATAGAGACTAGCTGCGATGTTAGAGAAGTTTCTCCAAATAACAAAGATATATAGCTTGTTCATTTTAATCTTTGAAAGAATACTCATTATATGAAACATTTATGGGCATTAAGGTCTATGACTGAATGGAATAAAGTTTAATAAACCACCTTCCTGCTTTCTATAAAACATGGACATTGGAAGATAATAAAAACCCACCCTCCTATAACCACAAGATTCATACAGTAGTAATTTACCAACATTTCTTCCTGAAAACAGAATAAATTCCACATGAGCTTCTGAAGAAAAGCACTATTCCTTAAATTTTCAGTAGAACAGTACAAAGACAAAACGAAGTCCAATTGCATGGCCAGTATACTAGGTTTGCAGACTCCAAAAATGTTGGGAAATTTAAAGAGATGGCCTAACATCTCTCTTAAATTTGTCTGCACAACACTGGACAATGCATCACACAAGAATAGTATTGGTAAGATAGGCATATRTTTTTTGGCATATATTTTTTGCAACAGAAAAGGTTGAGACAGTTCATCAATTGTCAGAATAGTACCATATTAGGAGARTTTTTTTAATGCAAATTTTTGGTCCACTTTTCCATGATACTTTGCTACCTCCTTTTCATACTTCTAAATAGTATGTAACATTCTGTTCCATTTGTTATTATGTTGAAAAATACAATGATTCTTCAACCTTGATGTTCTTTTAAATGGTTAAGCAGCACAAGTCTCAAAACGGATTGAATTAAATATGCATTTTAGGACTGACTATACCTATAAAAAAATTTGAGCTTTACAAGGAAACTGAAATATCCTCAGCTGTTCCAAATTCTGTTTATATTCTAGGCAGATTATAAAAGTATATGTATGACAGGTTTTTTGTCTAATTATAATATACAACAGAAGTGTGCTGTTCTCGAGATTCTCTGAAAAGAATAATTTAACCAGCTTTATTATCACAAAATGAAGAACTGATGAGAGTTAAGTCATCCATAAGTTTTAAAAACATAAATTTAAAGTACCTTTATATTTTTTTTTTACACATTCTCCTTTGCACATTCAGATGAGAGAGAACTATAACTGTATTCATTTCAGTAAAGGGACATATATTTCACACGAAGTAATGAAAATTCCCTACCTTGATGGACTGACTGTAAGGTCCTATGCTGGCAGGTGCCCAGTGGGAAATGCTCTGTACATGCATGACCAGCTTTTCATCATGTACYACATCATCTGTCGCAATGTCATACTTATGCGCAAGGCAGTCAATGCAAAACAGCACTCCATCAGGTAAAAGCGTTTCCACACATACTCTGAAAGCACATGACAATTATTCTTCTCAAACAGAAGTTTGCTTGCACCAATTTCCAACATTTAATTTCCATTTTTTTTTCCTTTTTTTTTTTTGGTCTGGACACTATTTTAGTAAATTTTGCCAAGATCGTATCACAAAAGTTAGGGTATTGCAATAACCTGCTAGCATTAACACTGTTATCTTCTCAAGGACACTGCTGGCTCACAGACAGTTTCTTGTCCACCAGGACTCAYAGATCCTTCTTTGAAGAGCTGCTTTCCAGCAGCTCAGTCTCCAGTCTCTACAGGTGCATGGGGTTATTCCTCCCCAGGTGCAGGACCCTCAYTGGCCTTTGCTGAAGTTCAGAAGGTTCCTCTCTGCCCATCTCTCCAAGCAGTTGAAGTTCTTCTGAAGGGCTGCACAACCCTCTGGGGCATTGGCCACTCCTCCCAGCTTGGTGTCACAGTGAACTTGCTGAGGAGGGATCTGCACCTTCATCCAAGTAATTGATGAATAAATTAAACAAGACTGGGCCCAATATTGAACCCTGGGGCACACTGCTAGTGACATGTCTCCAACTAGACCCTGYGCCACTGATTATGACCCTCTGGGATCTACCATTAACCCAGTTCTCAATCTGCCTCACTGCCCACTCATCCAGTCCACACTTCACTTCCTGAGTTTCCCTATGAGGATGCTGTGAGAGACAGTGCCAGAGTTTTCTAAAAAGCAGCAGTTGATAGTTCCTTTCACAGGTTATCTGTAATACTAGCATATTTTTATGCTATGCTTTAAGTTGCATGACAGAGACACACATGATAAGACTCAAAAGCTACTTATGCATTCATTTATAAAGTTCACTTTTGTTTCCTCCAAGGAGGACTGAGTGCCTTGATGAACAGACAGATGTGTGTTGCATGTGGCCAGTTAAAAAGCAGGGGGTTGAGGGTCGATGYGGGGAAATCAACATTTCAAAGCCTGAAAAATAATTGTATTTGCAGTCCATGCATAAAAAAGTTATTTAACTCCCAGCAGGAATCCAGCAAAAAATTACTTGTTCTCTTTACATATCATGTAACATAGCCTTATAAAATTCCTCTCATCTTGCTTATTTCTTCCAAGAAAACTATTTTTCTCCCCACCTCTCACATGTAAATACAGTCGTTTTTTCTCATTACCATCATCACAAGCATGGATGAATGGATTTTCTGCTTGGGCTGGTAAATTTTCAAGACAATTTTGCAAATTTACTGCAGATCCACACCCGAGCCAGTGCTTCCAGCATACTGCTTGTGAGAACTTCCACAACCAGGCCTCTGYACATAATGCAATGATGCAACCATGCAAACTGCTGTATAATTTTTCTTCAGGACAAAATGCAACATAAACAAATGTGCAGCACAAACGCAATGATGTTGAAAGGGACCTGAAGACTGTGGTCAATGGCAAATTAAATATGACTCAGCAGTGCCCTGGCAGCCAGGAGGGCCAACCACGTCATGGGATGCATCAGGCACAGCACAGCATCACCAGCTGGGCAAGGGAGAGGATTGTCCTGCACTGCTCTGACCTGGGGTGGTCTCACCTCAGGTTCTGGGGGCAGTTCTGAGAACTGAAGTATAAGGAAGATCTAGAAAGCATTAGAGACCATCCAAAGGAGACCTATAAAGATAGTGAAGGACATTGAGGGACAGCTGTGTGAGGGACAGCTGTGTCAGGGGCAGCTGTATTAAGAGCAGCTGAAGTCCCTTGGTCTGTTCAGCCTGGAGGAGATTGAGGAGAAACATCATTGCAGCTCCAATTTCCTTGTGAGGGGAAGAGGAGGGGAACGCATTAATCTCTCCTCTAGTGACCAGTGACAGGGCTTGAAGGAATGGCCTGAAGTTGTGTCAGGGGAGGTTTATGTTGGACCTTAGGACAAGGTTCTTCACCTGAAGGATGTTTGGGCTCTGGAACAGGCTCCCCAGGGAAGTGGTCACAGCCCCAACCAGGCAGAGTTCAGGAAGTGTTTGGACAATGCTCTCAGGCACAGGGTGTGACTCTTGGGGTGTCCTGTGCTGGGCCAGGAGCTGGACTTTGACAATCCTTGTGGGTCTCTTCCTACTCAGGATATTCTATGATGGTATGAAAAGTGTTTGCTCCATAAAAATAATAGTAAAAAGGCATTTTCCTGCAACTTTCTAATCTTTCTACCTTGTTATTTTACTGATGGAAGGCTATGTAGCTGGCTATGTAAATGTGGAGGTCTAAAACATGCAGGCCTAAGAAATGAAAGATAAACAGGGAGAAGATGAGCATTATAAAGGGAACCTAATATGTTTAGGAGTGGAGAATAATTTTGTGTAGTTTACAACTGAGATTAGATCCGTCCTCTGAAGGCACACGCAGCCAACACTCCCATTTCTCTGTGATTAATAATCCTGGCCTGCAGTCAGCAGCTCGAAGAAGCCTCTCCCTGCTTTCTTTGGATCTGACACCCAGGCAGTGTAAAGGAATGTCAGGCTACGATAATTATCTTAACAATGTCTTTGAACTATTTGTCTTGCTATACTTAAAATTCACATATCTCTATTACACTTCATATTCAGCAGTAAGAGTATAAAATATRGTATTTTTTCATTAGAAAGTTGCTGAACAGTTGGTTTCAAAAATATGAAGAAGACAAGAGGTATGACCTCACAGTTGACCCTGCTTTCAGCACAGGATTGGACTAGAAGACCTCCAGAGGTCCCTTACAACCTGTATTAACCTATGATTCAAGTGAAATTTTTCAAGCTAAAACAGTTCTGCATTCTCAGCATATTATCTCAGAAGCATAAGAAATTACTGTAAAAAATTACAAATTACTGTAAAAAGAAATGTTGCTTTGACAAAGGCAATAAAAAATACAAATGGAAAATTAGTTTTAATACACAACTTTAAAAAAAAAGAAAAATTTAATGGGCTAGGTGTTTTTTATCCAATTTCCAATGGAAAACCAACCCACCACTCTCAAGTTTTACACAGCAATTGCATACTGCACACTGAAACCACTGAGCAGTTTCATTATGCAGACGGAAACTTGGATGCAACCTAGAAGACTGTACCATAAATATTGAAAAACTATGCTTTGTGGATCTATGAATAAAAGTGTTATCATCAGTATAATTTTATTCTTGAATTCTTATTGAACTAAGAATTGAACTAAGTGCAGCTAACCTATCCATTAACTCTGATTATCTGATGGAAACACAAGACATTAAGAACAACCATACTGGATCGAGCCAAAGATCCATCTAGTCCAGTATTTGTCTTCAACCAGTGTTAAGTCCATATAAGCAGGGGAAGAAAACAAACAGACTAAATATGTATATTTATTTATATAAATACAGTTTTGAAATAACTGCCAGTATCTCATGTGAATCTGAAGCAGCTGCTCAGATAAAAATTTAGAACAAAGTGAGTAACATTTGTCACAAAGACCTAGAAGGTTCCAGACTTCATCACTTTTAGGAAGACCTAATATTGGTAGTGAGGCTTCAGTAATGCTTTTGACACTTTCTCCTGTAACACACTCATAGAGAAGCTTTTGATGTGCAGGCTGGATGAGCAGAGAGAGAGGTGGAGTGAAAACTGTCTGAACAGCCAGGCCCAGTGGGTGGGATAAGTGGCATAAAGTCTCATGGGTGAACAACCAGGAACCTATATTGGGTCCACTCCTGTTCAACATATTCATTCATAATCTGCACAGTGGGGGAGAGTGTACCCTTGGCAAGTTGCCCCCACATGGATGTTGACATGCTAAGAAACAGGCACACAGGAACCTCATGAAGTTCAGCAAGGAGAAGCTGCAAGTTGTACACCTGGGGGAGGAACAAACTCAAGGTCCAGTATATTCTGTGGGCCCACTGGCTCAAAGTCAGCTTTACAGAGAAGGACTGGAGGCTCCTGATGGACACCAACTTGAACATGAGCCAATAATGTGCCTTTGTGGCAAAGATGGTTAATGATTTCCTGAGTTGCATTCAGAGAAGCACTGCCAACAGGTCAAGGGATAGAAACAAAAAAGAAAAGCAAATAAAATCCCAGCAATACTAACAGTTGTCAGATCAATCAAGTCACAAAGAACTAAGACTTGCAAACCATGTATTATCCTTCTGTAAACCCATATGGGGGGCATTTGTAATCCTTATGGTATATATTAAAGCAAGAATTTCTAACCCTAGTGCTTTTGACGTGAGCAGCTGTGATGTTAATACTCCAAAARTCAGCAGAAGTCTACTTCTAAGTCTGTGAGGCACAAACATTTGGTAAGATGCTTCACAAATATGGTAACAATAATTCAGTCTATGACAGTGCATCATAAATATACTATAGCAATAGTCTAATCCTACCTTGCTGGTGGACACAAATCAAATTCTGTCACATAAACTGAGTTTATAACACTGAAATCTTTCATGCTCTTCATATATAGATGAACCAAAATAATATCTTTCAGTTTCAATCCCTCTGAAGTCAAATTAGCTGCAAGATAAAAAAAAATTAAGCTGTTAAAGACAGAATATTTTTCATGTCTGTAGAAAGACAGCAAAGGCATCCTGATTTTGTTCAGCAAAAACAACTGCCAATAAACTAACTGTTGTCTAAATATGACTGAAAATTTTGCAACATACTAGCTTTTGCTATTTAATACCTATTTTTTCATTATATTCTTTCTCATGTTAGTTTTCCAAATATACAGAAAGAGATTACAAAATAAATTTTATGCACTCTGAGCAGTGGTGAAATCTCGCCCCATGAAAACACATGATGCATTCATGCATGTAGATATGTTAGAGTCCAAATTACTTGTATCCGTAAGTTTGATTATCTTGGGGGGGCTTGGAGTGGGGTGTTCATTCTATGACGACTAGTAATCTACAAAGGACTCTGAATCATAAAAATACAGAACTGGAAGGGACAATAAGAGGTCCTTTAGTACATCACTGTCTTTAAGGAAAAGATAAAATATTTATAAGCTCCAGAGGGATGCTTGTCTAAGCTGTTTTTAAAAACTCGCACTGCAATAGTAATCTCCACATAAACAAAGAGTTATAAATGGCAAGACAGACAATACAAAACAGAAGTGGCCACAGGAGAAATGAAGGAAAGATGAATGCAGAGAAAAGCTCAAGCAGACAGCTGAAGAAGAGATGCTGAGAAGTCAAGATTACCTGAATGCGTATGCATAGAACATTCCAGTCATAGCACACAGAGAGAATGTATTACTCTTACATAGTTAACCACATAACAAGATATGTGATCTGCTCTGCAGTGTGGCTCTTTTGTAGCTCACGAGCAGTAGAAACTAAATGAAGACAAAATCTTCTCTGAATATAGAAAATATATAATAAGAGAGAACTCTGTGACCTAATTTAAATAAGCCATGTAAAGCTCTTCTCAGTGTAATTTWGGGGATCTTGCAGTTTAATGCTATAGTGTGTATATGTATACACATATTTTTTTTCCAGTTGAGAAGAGTACAGAGACAACCTCTGAAGGTTTTGCCTTAGTGAGAAACAGTTTCCTTGTAAAACTTCAGTGCTTTTAAAGAAGGTCAAGACTTTGCACACTTTCATAAAAATTAGTATGATCCCACCAACACTGAATTTTGTTCTAAATGTCTCAGCTTTACTAGGTCGTACTGCCAATAACAATGGCAATCTGAAGAGGGGAATTCTCACAGAAAAGGAAGTGTGCACATGTGATATGAGGTTATATAGCAATTGACATACAACTCCTATGAAATCACAATACATGTCCAGAAATATCAGCTGATAAATTAGCACACAATGGTAATCTGTACAGAAATAGAAATGTATTTGAATGCTACCTGATATCAATCACTAGATCAATACCAACTGTTATATCATGAATTAAGGAGGAAACAAGATCAATTTTCAAATTTCCAGCCAGCACTTTAGTCAAGATGAAAGGCCTGCAATTAAAAGTTCTGCAGCTTTATATGAAATACTGGAGAGGGGAAAACGCTCAACCAACTTATACATACCTTTGCACACAAACACCCCCATTCTAAATTTAATATATATGAACCAACAAACCAACTCTTTTGTGGACACAGAGTAAGCTGGAGGCAGGGATTTGGGTAAATTCATAATTTCTATCTTTACTTTAAAAAAAATCTCCCAAGTAAAAGTGCTATCCCTATTTCGCCTGCATGAATTAGAGGAATGGTGGGAAATAACTTCTTCCCTGCTTATAGTCAAAATAAAACTGACTCACAAAGCACTCTTGCTAGTAGAAAGGCATACATGATGAACTGGTTAGCAATACACCTAACAGATGTGTGTTCTTCACAACTTCTATTTTTCAGGGAGAGGACTCGTACACAGCATATCTCCTGGACATACAGGGAAACCTTTAAGCCTTTCTGTTGAATTTCAAGTCATTCATATCATCTAATATGATGTTATATGATTAGTCATTTCTAAACATCTATAGAATATGATCAAGTGAGATTCACTCTTGAGCAGAACTGTCCCAAAAAGTTACATTGACTGAAGCACAGCTTTTTGATTGTTTTTGGTTGGTTGGTTTTGGTTTGTTGAGGGCTTTTTTGTTTGTTTTTTTATTAAGGGGTTATCCAGAATCCTTGGTTGAGAGCCACAAAAGACAGTATCCAAACTGCCTACAGGAAGTAGCATTTAAGAACTTTAGAGAAGGTTTTCATGCAATAAAAATCCATGTAGTTTCCTTCTGGCTTATGAAACTCTGCCATGCTACAGCTACACCGGAGCTGCTTTGTATTGTATAAAGCACAGCAATCTTTGTTATCTTCCAAACATATCTAAAAAAGAGTTTAACGTGAGAATTTCAGAAAATAAATGTAAAAACAATATATTGCATTCCCTCCCATTCTTGGCTTCTCAGAATTCCATCCATTCTACAGAACATTTCATAGTGCCTAGTAATAAATTTCCATTTCCAAATCCTTTTGTCAGCATCCATTCACTTTAGAGGTCATTAAATCAGTTAACCCAGCAAAGAGGTTAAAAGTACTGTGCTTATTGCATTCTCACCACAAGGAAGCTGAACTGCCATATACATTCTAAATATGCATTCAGAAAAWGCCTTGTGAACATTTGAAGATTAAGTTCTCAGAAACAAATTGTTTATTTTGTCCTGACAGAACCATAATTCATTCCATTTACACACCCACTTCCAAAAGAAGAATAACTAAAAGAAACATGAGAACTGTCATTTTCTGCAAAAGTTCAGGAAATAACTTTTTTTTTTTTAACCTTGCCATCATACAGATAATGCATGTGTCCTGCAGAAAGCAATGGGCTACTGCACTACTCAGACATAACCTTTTCTGGCAGATGCTAAGGCAAAATTACATAATGTTTATACAAGCAGACCTCATTAAATATAATGAGAAAAAAATTAAACACTGCACAATCCTCTTGCTTCACTTTATAGATTATGAGCAGATTTACACTAAAAACTATTGTTTTTTTTAGTAAAAGTCTGCTCATCTCCATTTCCAAACCATCAAAAACTAGCTTAAGGAGCTTCTACCAAGATAACTTTGCTGCTGAAAAAAATTCTAGGGTATCTTTATCATCCTACATTCAATCATGAATATTCAGCTGCACATGCAAAGAATTAGATATGATAGGACAATATCTCACACAAGTTCATAAACAAGAATATGAGCTTGCCCATTTAGATACTAAAAATTATTTCCATTTTTGTGAATGAAAAGAAGCCTGTGTGAACACTTTATTTTATATGTCAGAATCTTGTAAGGAACCCGGATCTCATGATTCCCAAGATAGCAATTTTGCCTTTACATTAGGAATATAAATGAGATTTACTGCTACTGACCTAATCGTAGATGCCAAAATGTACAACAGCTTTCTAGAAAACTTAATTTAAAATTATGGAAGCTACGAAAGTGTTTTAGCAAGTAGACAGCATCTATAGCACACATACATCCTCACTCACACAGTATATATTTCAAGAATGCTATAAAGTGAGCAAGTACTGTGGAAATAGTGTTGTTACAGTGATATGAACACTACTCCGGCTTTCCAGGGTCTTCAAAGCCAGTCAAATTATGATGTGTTAAATATTAAAGCTGGCAGTCTTGATATCAAAGATTCCAATCAAATGCAAAATGAGATGGTAAACCAACAACCCCAATATTTAAAGTTATAAAACCACATAAAAATACAGATTCTTCCTTAATACCATATTAAAAATACTATAAATGACAGCAGATAATGTATTAACTGAATAAAGCACCTCTGAGAGAAGAAAATGCTTCCCGTGCTGCATCTTGAGCATTTTTATCCGTTGATGGGAGGAAGTGGGCAGTGATACCTGAAAACCACTGGTAACCACTCAGGGATTTTCCTGAATTTTCAAACGTCTTAGCTATGGGAAATGAAGAACAGAACTACAATTATAATATTGAAAGATTTCATATTAACCAAAGATACATTTTAAWTTGTTTAAGGAATAAGAACTTGTACAGAAAAGAAAAACAAAAACTGTAAAAACATCATCAAAAGTATCTACAAACAGATATAAAAGTGTGCTGGTAGCAAAGTTCCCACATGCCACTTGACAAACCCTTCTCCAACTCCGCCTTCACAAAATATGCATGCAACTAGCATCTTAGCTGAGAATTTCAGTACTTTTCACCCTCCTTTCAATTTTTTCTTACCTTTTGCAATTTCTTAACCTGCTCGGTTACAGACTTAGCACGACATGTGACATGGAAAAGCTAAAATTTTCAGAAGTATCCAGGTGACATAGAAGCAGATTTTCAAACTGTCAAATTTTAATGGAAGTTAGGTGCTTAACCTGGTTCTGATAATCTTTGTAAATACATAATATGTTGAGATATTTTTAAAGCCCACCAGGCACCTATTCATATTCAAGAAATACCAAATACCTAAAAGCTATTCAACACACAAACACTGCTAGCCGTGAAACTTAGTTTACAGGAAGTTTACCCATCTTGGTATGTAGTGTAACATAAATGTGGTACTTCCAGGAAGAAGAGAGGGAAAAGAAGAGGGAGAGAAAGAAAAAGTGTGTTATGCTCCTGTAAACTAAACTGAAATGCTTAACTACTACAGATCTATAGATTATTATCAGAAAAGCTCATTCTAGTAGGATCTCTTTTTTCAGACTATTTACTACAGGTCAAGCACATTTTTTTCAGGAGTGTTCATATAGTAACTAACATAGTCTACCTGGCATGAAATAGTCAATCTTTTTTTTTCTTATTTTTTTTAAAACTGTGTAAAACTCACTGAAATCCAAAGAGTTATGTTTCAAAGTCTTCCAGAGGACTGGAATATTCTTCTGTGGTTCATGCTCTTCTGAGTATGATCGGAAAATATCATCATCAGTGCAGCTTCTCTCACAGGAACAGCTACTGACCACAAAAGTACCTGAAGATTCTTCCTCCTCGAGACAAACATTATAAAATAAGCAAGTAAACTTACTTGCATGTCAAGCTGTATGAAATCTACACATTTTGTAATTCAAATACAAGCTTAAATTATAAAAAATACTATAGTTCATGTCATGGTTTTACTTAGTCCGATTTTTGGTGGTGGGGGGATGGGACCAAGAAATCACAAAGATGGCTCCTGTGAAGAAGTTCTAGAAGCTTTCGCCTTCTTCTCCAGCTAAAGGAGCCCTRCCCCYTGTGTTTTAGAGMCAATCCATCATGGCTCTGAGGTTGATGGACAGGTTGCTCATGAGGCCTGGGCCAATTGCACAGGTTGGTTACACCTCTGTGATGACATATTGTGTTGCACTTAAGAAAGAATTCAAAACAAGATAGGGGCAGCCACCATGTAGTTTTAGGTTGTTAGCATTTAGTTTTAGTATCATGGACTGGGGAAAAACAGAGCAGGAGGGTGAGGAGATGTTAGAAAAAAATGGAGACCCAAGATCACAGTAAAGAGGAGATGGGATGAGTTGCTGTGCTGTTGCTGTGGTTCTCGAGCATGGAGAAAATAAGTTATTCTCAAAAGGACTATTTCATCAGTGAGAGACCTGTATAGAAAAGGAGAGCAACCTTCCTCTGAGGAAAAAAATTTGGCCTTTGAAGACTGGACTGAACTGCTTAGAAGCCAAAAAAATGAGGAAGAGGCTTGGCCCCCYCACGATGTTTGAAGCGAGTTGATGCTAAGAAGAAATTGTGTTCTGTGGGGAGGGAGAGGTGCCCCCGCTCAAGCAAGTGAAGCTGTGTTCTGCCAGGAGAATTGTGATATCACGCYGCTGAAACAACGCARTTTGGCCTTGAAGGACATTCTTTCCTTTCTCCTACGAGGTACAGAAAATACTCCCCTTGCAACAGCAGTTATACACTGTTTCTTGGGAAAAAAAACTTCCACAGCTTGGAGCTGTAAGAACGCTTCTCCTATGATGCTGGACAACAACTGTAATGAGTGGTTTGATCTATGTTAGACTTTCATTCCTGTCCCCTGTGTGTCTGGGAAGACATGGGGGGTGGAGAGGGAGGACCTGGGAAAGAGACGGATSCCCGGAAAGGATAACAGGTGTCTTAAAATGTCCGTTTTTATTTTTCTTCTCCTTGTAAATTTTTCCCTATCTTTGTTCCCCTCCCTAGTGCGGTAGTATTCTTAGTAGTTTGTAGTAATAAATCTATTTTTCAACTGAAATT